GAGAGAGAGAGAGAGAGAGAGAGAGAGAGAGAGAGAGAGAGAGAGAGAGAGAGAGAGAGAGCTTATTTCATTGTCGCCTCAAATGCGTTAAAGACGCACCACGCACGTTTCGTGGCAAACACCAAACAACTATATAGTACGGTTAGGGGTCGCGAAGGAAGCACATCACACACAGCAAAAGTTGTAGGGGTATAAAACGTGGGATAAAAGTTGCAGGGTATAAAACGTGGGATATGAGCTGCAGGGTATAAAACGTGGGATAGAAGTTGCAGGGTAGAAGTTGCGAGGTAAGAGTTGCAGGGTTGAAGTCGCGAGGTAAGAGTTACAGGGTAGAAGTCGCTGGATAAGAGTTGCAGGGTAGAAGTCGCGGGATAAGAGTTACAGGGTAGAAGTCGCGGGATAAGAGTTGCAGGGTAGAAGTCGCGGGATAAGAGTTGCAGGGTGGAAGTCGCGGGATAGGATTTCCAGGGTAGAAGTTGCGGGGTGAGAGTGGCAGGGTAGAAGTCGCTGGGTAAAAGTTGCAGGGTAGTTGTGGGGTAGGTGGTTGTGGGATAAGGCTTGACAACGGTTGCAGCGGCAGGGGATCATGGAGTTGAGAGTAGCAGACGTGGAGCGTGTAAACTATAGGTGGTTACAGGGTAGAGATTGAAGGGTCGGGATTATAGGATAGCAGAAGCGTAGCTAACCCATTTTTCTTTGGGGGGGCAAATCCATGTACATGGTGTGTTCTGGGAAGGTGACCGCCAGTAAATTTGACCATGTATTGTGTAAGAGTCCATAATATAAAATCTATTATGCACTATTATGGAAATCTATTATGGAATATTATGGAAATAGATTTTCTATTATGGACTCTTGATTGTATCTACTTTTTTTCTGGGGCAACTGCCCCTGTGCCCGCCCCCCCCCCAGATAGCTACGGCCCTGGATGGGGAGTTGGCTGCAGGGAAGGGTGTGGTGATGTAGGGACTGTAGTGCAGGAAATTCAGCCATAGAATGAGCGTTGTGGGGAATGAAGGCGTACGTGGTAGTAAAATACACTTGCCTGCCCCGCTGTGTCCAGGATGTCGAACGTGATCGGTTCGTTGCTAAACTCCGTGCGCACGCTGTAGATTCTCTCCAGTGTGGGGTCGTACTCTCCTATGAAGCGACGCGTGACAAATCTCACCGCCATCGCTGTAAACGCATAGAACGAGAGAAAGAGAGAGAGACGTCACGAAAACGGCGCGTTCGATACATTACATATTATCAGGCGTGAATAATAATAGATTATTAATATAATCTATTATCTAATCGAGTATAATCTTATTATCTAATCGAGTATAATCTATTATCTAATCGAGTATAATCTATTATCTAATCGAGTATAATCTTATCCAATCTAGATAATCTAT